GACAAAGGACCATGCTAATGGTCCACAGAATTCTATATATTGAATGAAAATAAAACATTGAAGCAATTAACTAACGAACCTTTTTCCCTAACTTGTTTGTTTCCATAGATAATTTCAGGATCCGGCCAGCTGCCCGGAAGATTATTCTGTTGGATTGTTTTTTGTGTAGGATGATGTGGGTCAAGCGTTTGCCAACACCCCGCTGTGCTTGGATGGTGCGTTGCACCCTTCGCAGTATGCGGTTATTGGAGCAAGCAGGACCATTTCACTTTCTCGCCTGATGGAGGATCTGCAGACGATCAGGTCCGCCCTCAGTACTTGGGCACAGCTGGATTCCTCCTTCTCAGAGTCGTTCACACCCACAGCGGGTCTGGTTGGACTCTTATCCAATGCAGCCAGTGGTGACGGGACGTGGATTGACGATTACCTTTGCATGACTGCAAGCGTGACGAATGCAGTGAAGGTCGAAAATGGTTTTCAATTCACGAGACCTGGGTCCGGGGCAACGTGGCCCGTAAACAGCCGGGAGAGAACTGGGCTGTACACTTCTGTAAGCCGCGATTTCACTCTTGTGGCGACGGTGGTCATACAAAATTTTTCGAGGTTGAGCACTTCTCTGCTGGGTGCGGTGCTGGCCTCACCGGTCAGCACGAACTTCATTGGGCTGTCGCACAGCACTGAGGGTAAGTGGGAGATAGTGTTTGACGGCAATAAAACTGCACATGGCAGAACTTGGGAGCCGGGGAAAGAATACCAGGCGGCGCTGATGGTGCAGGGCGGCAACAAGGAGCTCCGTGTGCGTGGATGGCCGGCTTGTGGGGAGCTTGGAAACGAGACCAACACCTGAGGTGCGGGGGGCTGAATTCTCGCACTTCTACATCGGGGGAGGCGAAGACGACAGCGACAGCAGTATGACGATGACGAAGGTCTTTCTGTGAGACCGCCCACTGAGTGCCGATGAACTAAAAATGGTCAAGAAGAGCGACGCCACAAAAGGTAATGGTGACGACTCCATGCGTGGGGGCGTGTCTCGGGTGCTTCTGCTGCTGGGGCTGTGGGACATTGCGGCCCTTTACTGAGAGGTCGGAGCGAGGAGTCCCTGCCACCAGTGGGAAAATATGTGCCTCTCTACGCACTCTCCGAAATAATTGACGTTTTGCGTGGACGCACCCTTTATTTTATGTTTCTATCTCTGGTTTGACTACCTCATCCTGCCCGTGTAAGTCTTTACGAAGGATGTGCTCTCCCTCCGGGGACCGCACCGCAAGGCATTTGTTTTTGTTTATATATATACATCTAGTGTAACTTTTTGGGACTGTTGGGATGTCTTTAATGTTTCCGTATGTTGATGACACGTGCACTCGGCATTGAGCGCCACGACGATGGAGCGATGGAAAAAGGGGGGCTAGATGTGCAGCAACGCGCTGAGTGACTCAATGAAATGTGGGTGTTGTGTGGACACCAGAGGGTTGAACGGCTGAAGCAAATATATTCTTACTTTTGCGGGAAGAATATGCAACCATTTTTTTTTTGCTTTTTCCGCGTTACTGTGTTTTTTTTTGGACCTGAAAACTTTTCCAAAGTGATTTTTTTAAAATTTTAACCTTTTTTGTTTTAAATTTAATTTTTATTTTCCGCAAGCGTATTGTGGGTTGCCGCTGGTTGGGCTGCCGTGCCATGCTGAGCCTTATTGGACTTCTCCCTCTCTTTTTTTCCGTCCTGCACCTCCGCTGCGTGTTTTTTTTGTTTCTTCACGTGCGTGGCTCTTTTTTTCTTTGCGTGTCAGCAGGCACACAACCGCACGGCGTACATGTTGCGGTGCAGTTGTATGCTTCTCTTGCACTCGGTGGCGGAAGCGGCGTGTGGATGCTGCTGGATCACTCCGTGGCAATGAAGAGAAGGAAGGGGGAGGCGGTGAGAGTGCGCCACGGCTCTCATCCCCTGTGGGAATGCTGAACGGCGTGTGGCGGTATTGTTTTGAGGCGCCGCACCATCACGCACGAGGACGTGGCACGGAGTGTAAGATCTTTTTTTTTGCGTGTCTGCTGCTGTGGGTGTGGGTGCGGCCGCGTCGGACTTGTCGGCACGATGGCCGCAGCGTGTGGCTGCCACTCTGTCCTCTCGAGAGATATGCTACGACGTTTTCACTTGTGTGTTGTTTCGGGGACAATGTGCCGGCAGCTGTGCGATTGCCGGGTGGATGGGGAGGAGCGGAGGGAAGTGCGTGAGCGCCGCGGTCAAGAGTCGCGCTGGGTGTCTCGCCGCAGAGGGCATTCCCCACCAAACCCAGCACCGCTCGTGCCGGGCACCCTCTATCACACTGCAGCATCGTATTCGACGCCAGCAGCACGCAGCGAGGCAGCGGATGCCGCCACCGCCACGAGTGCGACCTGAAGGGGACACGTCTGCTGTTGCGTTCCGAGGGGGCACTCCGTGTGGCACAGCGGCGTGCCCACAACCTCTTCGCGGAGTCCGCACACGACACCGGGCACTGGCCGCGGAGTGTTTGCGTCGTGGAGGACACTGCGGCTGAGTCCCTCTTCCTTTCAGGTGGACGGACGCCTGTTTTTACTCTTTTCCCACTCAGGCGGATGGCTGCGCGATGACACCACAACGAGGCAGTTGTTTTTACCATGGAGGGGTAATGTCTGCAGGGTTACGCATTGGGAATATGAATGACGAATGCAATGGGAAATAGAGCGTCATGGTTCTTTTGTGCTGTGCGAATTGCAGAAATTTTCAATCTATATATTCCTTGTGTGGGAGCTTTTCATGATGCATTGCTGCTGTGGCGTGTATGATTTGTGATACCTGCGTGTGGCCGTCGCTGCACCGAATTCTCTTCCCACTTTTTTGTGTTAGGGGCTATGCCTACATGTATTTCTGCAGATTGTTTGCGGTGACGGCGGTGCCACACGGGTGCGGGACCGTGGCGAGCGGAATGCATGGACGAACCCTCCGCGCTCACCACGGTGTTGTTGTTTTTGTTGTTAGCTTTTCCCAACACCGTGCTGAGTGAATGGCAGCCACTTGCCGTCGTTGCGGTGGTCCTCGTGCATGTGGTGTGCATCGCACGCTGTGCCGTCACACAGTGTGGATGACTCTATTGTTTTGGCTGCCCGTCGGGACTATGCCTATTGTTCCCATCTTTCTCATTTTCCTCCTTTGATTGGTGGTCAGTGTTCGGCTTTAACTCGAGCCAACTGCGGGGACAAGGGGAAACAATGCGTGGAAAGCGCAAGAGAGTGCACGGCGATCATGAGGAAGGCCCTGCGTCCACTGTGCGGCGGGGGGATGGTCGGAGGGGAGCGAGGCCGGAGTCCCACAGCGACACGGATCAACCCGCTACGACTCGCAGAAGGGCGAATGAGATGCGGCGATTAATGTGGGCTATTTACAGTCGGGTGGAAGGATAAATGCTGCAGGGATTGTAAGAGTCTGTGCACAATGCGAGTTGGCATATTGTTGTGGGGGTTCCCGGCGGCGAGTGGACGGTAATGGAAGTGAGGCTTATGAGGGGGAACACCGAGGTTATGGACCTACAGGGCAGTTGGCGAAACCCTTGAAAAGGATGACGGTGTGCAGCAATCCGGTGCACCACGTCCCAGGCTGATGGCGCGCACCTCGGACAAGGGATGGCCGTACTCGTGGAAATGGAAGGAGAACGAATCCATTCGTGACTGCAATGTGAACTGTGGGGTGGAGCGAGTGTGGCGGATCGTCAAGGGCGATGTAACCGAATGGTTCGGCAGTCACGTTGGGACGGAATTTACGCCTGGGCGGCGTGTGTTGATTTGGACGTCCGGGATCGGGAAGTCGATGGCTGCCGGCTCGTACCTCCTCTATCAGCTGCTGCACCACGATGCGGAGCGACTCCCTGCGGTTGCGTGCTTTGTTTGTAATTGAGCATTCCTGTTTGACAAGACCACCCAAACGGTGCGAGAATACGTGGGTACTACGAAATCTAAGAGAGTCTTTTTTTTCTTTTTGGCAGCTGTGGGGCTGTGCGGCAGCGTGCTTGCCGTGCGTCTCTCATCTTTTGCCGTTGCTCCCTTGCTGTGTTGGTGGGGGAGGAGGCGCGTGACGGCGTCGGTGGAGAGGGAAGGCACCGACCGCTGCTGACGGTGACGGTCTCTGCTGCAGGTGATCTGACGGGATGACGTAACCGGTGTCACAGTTAACAGAGATGGATGAGGGCCGCACTGCGTCTCTGTCCCCTCCCTTCGTCCCCTCCGTCCACTGCAGTCACACCCGCCGCGCGGCATCTGCACGACTACCATCCGGACGGCTGTGGGCCAATCAGAATGTGCAATCGGTGTGGACCCTTTTCCCGTGACCAAGTGCTGCCACCGCACTTCTTTGTTCCCTTCTTTGTGCAATGCCGTGTGCTCATGGTGCCGCTGCTTGCTGTGCAATGCCGACTCGTATGAACGAGAAGCGACGCATTGACTGCTGGGGGCCGGCGAGCTCTCCACTCCACTTACGCACCACCAACACCAACACCTTTTGTACGCGCTTGATGGCTGGCGGTCGTATCGCTGCCACGTGGCCTGCCTCGGCTCCTGTATGACGTCTACGCATCGGGATCGCCATGTGATGGAGCCATTCGGTAACAGGAGCGGTGCCAGTGATCATTTGGCTTTTTGCCGGGATTCCGCCACTCGGCACGGTATTTGTGTGAGGCTGCGCGGGCGGTGGGAGGGCTATGGTGTCACTGACTTGATTGCGTCTGCGCTGCTTTGTGTCGGCGGTTGTACTGTGACGGGGATTGTGTATGTCCGGATGTTTTTGCGTGCCACTGTGTTTGGCTAATGTTGTCGCCGTTTTTATTCCTTTTTGACCGTGCAGTTAGAGATACTTTTGCTTTACCAGCACATCTATCGTTTCAAGGTGTTAGGAGTTAATTGCAGTATTAGGATTAGCAGTATTAGTATAGCGATCTATCGAAATCGTGTATCTGAATTCGCCATATTTAGGAAGGGATTTGCTAGGCAGGAGTTATGGTCGACGGGGCGAGTGCGACACACCACGACAGTTTTATTGGTGCCTGTTTGGGTCGGTGGATGCGGTCTGCGGTGGGTGCGTGTCCGCGCAGCCGGCACCGTGTGCGGCACAGGGCCATCGCGGCTGTGCGTGTGGCGCTGCTCGTTGTGTTGGCGCTGGTTGCGGCTGCTGCGTGGATGCCCGCGGTGCATGCGGTGGTGTTGCGACTGCGGGGCGGCACGGTGGACAGAGCCATCACGGTTGGCCGTGCCGTGGACACGGTGCTGATGGACGGCGTGCGCATGACGAACGGCGTGGCTGTGGTGCTCGACGTTGCGGCGATGCTTCCCGGCGCGCTGCGCATCGAACTGAGGAACTGCGTGTGCGACGGCGGTGCGCAGATCTACGTGCGGGGCTACAGCGGCGAGCCGGCGAGTGACCGGAGCCTGGAGGTGAGCGTGAGCGGGCTGTCCGGGAGCTACTGCTCGCTTGTGTTTGTGCACAACCTGCCGGCACACACGAACGTGACGGTCCGTGACTCGACGATTGTGACGGCGGGGCCGATGCGCTACTCCCAGCTGAGTGGGCTGACGGACGCGGTGGCATCGCCGCTTGTGCTGCACGCGACGTCGCTGTTGCAGAAGCAGCTGCGTGTGAGCAACACCGTGCTGAGGTCGTTGCACACGGGCGGGTCGGCGGTGTACGTTGGCGGCGACGTGGACCTGCTGTCGAGTGCGGTGGTGCTTGACGGCGTGTCGCTGGAGGCGTCGGGCGGTCCGACCGCGTCCGCGATGCATGTGGCGTCCTCGTCGCGTCTCAGCCTGCGGAACCGCTCGGTGTTCTCCGTGACGAACGTGTCGGTTGTGAGCAGCGGCGGCGGCATTGTGCTTGGCGAGCGCCTCGCGGTGCTTGATTCGGTGCTGCGCTTTGTGGGCGTCGAGGGGTCTGTTGCGTCGTCGCTGGTGCGCTGCGACGGTGGGACGGTCGGTGCCGGCGGGTGGCTGGAGCTGCGCGACGTGTGGGCGGTGGGCGAGGCGTCGTCTGTGGCGTCGCTGTCGGGGGTGACGCTGAGCGGCGGCACCGTGTCGATTGCGCGCTGCGCTGCCACTGGCGCGACGCTTGTCTCCGGGCTGGTGATCACGAGCGGCGTCGTGTCGGTGCAGTGCAACCGTGCCGGCGGCCGGGTGCTGCAGAGCAGTGGCGACTACCGCTTGGCCGGCCTGTCCTCCGTGAGCGTGGTGCCGTGCGACGGCTGTGCGGCCGCGCTGGCGTGCTTCGATGCGCTGACGGCGTCGTTCTCCGACTGCGTGTGCAGCTGCCGTGCCGGCGGCTTGGGCGAGGCGTGCCTGCCGTTTGACGTGCCGCCTGCGAGGTCCGGTGGCGGTGGTGGCGGTGCGCAGGGCTGCGTGAGTGGCGTGACGCTGACGGAGTCGGTGACGATTGGCGACGGGCGTGCGACGGCGTGCTTCGACTCGGTGGTGTTTAGCGGGCCGATCACTGTGGCGGTGGACCTGCGCTTGTTGGACGTGTTCGCTGACGCGCTGAACGTGACGCTGCGCCACTGCGTGCTTGCGGGCGGTGCGCAGCTGCGGATTGGTGGCCTCGGCGAGAGCACTGCGCGCCTGATGCCCCACGCTCTCGTCAACATGAAGAATGTGACGTCGCTGGAGGGCGTGATTGTGCTGCATGGCGCGATGCCGCTGCACTCGAGTGTGCTGCTGGAGAACTCGACGCTGCGCGCGACGGTTGGTGGGTCGCAGTACGTGCCGACGACCCCTGGCCGTGCGGAATCTCGGTACGGCCCCGCTCTTGTCCTGGACGGTGTCCGGCTTCTGTCGACGCGGTTTGTCATGACGCGGTCGTTGCTGGTGTGTGGCGGGGAATCGTGCGCTGCGATCCTTGTGGAGCACCGCCTTGACGTGAGCCTGTCCAGCGTCTTCTACATGGACAATTGCGTCGTCAGGTCGCGGACGCACGTGATGTACGCTCTTGCGTCGGACCTGCGTGTGAGCGGCGGCTCCGTGTTCTCCATACAGAACAGCTCGTGGAGTGCGCCGAGCATCGAGTACTACGAAGGTGCTTGTGTGTTTGAGGATGTTGCTGTGGCTGGCGGTAGCGTGCTGCAGATTGTGTCCAGCGCTTTCCGTCTCGGCTTCGCCATGCTCATGGCAAACACGCTGACCGTGACTGACGGCAGCTGGCTGGTGCACCGCGACAACGAGTTCCGCACCGCCTACGTTGTGTACGTGGCCAACGAAAACGGCGTTGCGTTTTGCGATCGGAGTGTGTGGTCGATACTTGACAACAACTTCACGTACGGCTTGTACTCGGCCTTAACATACATGACCAGCGACTGGTCACCAGCGTCCGAGTCGCGCCCGATCATCTACGGCGTGTGCAATGAAGCAAGGGGCTCTCCCGTGACGGATTACCGAGACGACCTCAATATTGGGGTACCCGTGACGTCGCTGGACTGTGGCGCGTGCACCATAGACGCCGTGTGCTTCGCTGCGAGGACGAGCAGCATCAGCGGCTGTGAGTGTGTGTGCGCTGCTGGCGGCTACGGTGACACTTGTCTGCCAGCTGCGGTTCCGGAAGGCCTTGGGCCGCTCCCGCTCCCCGATGCGGACGACACGGATGTCCGCTGCGTGCACGGTGGCAGCATCAGCTCCGTGGACGATCCTGATCCCGGTGTGCGTGGTCTGTGCTTTGTCAGCGTGACCTTCACCACTGCGATTGTGCTGGACCTGTCACATTTTGATGTACCGCAGCAGACGCTCAACATCACGCTGCTGCAGTGCGTCCTCATGGGTCTGTCGATCAAGGGGAGTGGTGCGCGCGTGCACGTGAACGTGACATCCTCGATGTTGGATTCTGGTGCATTGGAGTTTGAGGGTGATTTTGGTGTGAGCTCCCAGATACTGGTGGTGGGCAGTACGCTTGTGTCGACGTCTGGCCACGCCATTCAATTCCAGAGGTTTTCTCTTGGTGCGAACTCGTCACTGCTGTTGCTCGACAATCTCATTGAAGGGAAAAGTTACGCAGTCCGTTTATTCTTTGTTGTTTTTGATGGTGACGGGATCATTATGAAGGGAAACACGCTGAGGGGAGCGGAGGAGGACTTTCCGTTGGAATCCGCTGTTTTTTTTGAATCTGCTATTTTAAAGAATGATGGCTACTTTGACATGGAGAATAACACGATGAGCGCAGTTAGTGGCATTTATTTTTATGGGGACATCATTGTGAGCTCCGCGGGGCTGCTGCGAGTGGCGGACTGCACCTTTGCTGGCATCACACTGTTTTTTAAACCTGCGCTGGTGCATTTTGACGGCTTGGTGACCCTCCAGGGTGGAGCGCAGTGGCGTGTGGAGGGCAACAGCGTGACTGCAGCCTCAGTGATAGGTATGCCTAATTCCTTGTACAAAATGAGGCTGTCGGGCAGCGGCACCACCGTGGTTGTTGCACACAACCGTCAGGTGGACGATAGCTGTCCTTTTGCTAAAATGGCTCCGTCGAACATGATTGTGGTTTCACCCGCGCGGTTTGTGGTTGGGTGCAACCTGCAGGGCGATGAGGAGGTGTCGTACGACGGTCTGTTTCCTGAGGACGTGATGGTGTTTAGGTGCGGCACATGCAACGGTGACGCGGCGTGCTACATGCCTGGGACGGAGTCGGTGGACCGCGGCTCGTGCTCGTGCAGCTGCAAGGACGGATGGCATGGCGCGTCGTGTCTTCCCTTTGAGGTGCCCGACGCGGCTGTGCCACCCGTGGCGGAGAGAGCCGTTGACGGCGACACGAGCTGCGTGGTGAACCAGACGCTGACGAACCTCACGCTGAACGTGTGGAAGATGCAACACTGCTACGTGGATGTGACATTCAGCGGCGTGGGTGCAGTGCTGACGTTCTCCCTTAACAGTATGCCGCTGCATCTCCCCATCAACATCACGCTCACTGGATGCATATTCCGTGAGGGTGCCGTGCTGCAGTTTGTTGGGGGAGCTGAGGCGGCGGAGTCGGCTGGCGTCCTGATCCGCGTGAGCCAGACGGTGATGCGATCCTCTGTTGTTGTGTTTGCACTCGCCCTCCCGCAGCACTGTGACATTGCCGTCACGGAGGTTGACGCGGTGCAGTCCTCTGAGGTCCAGCTTTTGGACAATAGGATTAACATGTGGAGCGTTATGATGCTGCGGGACGTCGTGTTGAGTGCGTCCTCGCTGTTGATCAGCAACGTCAAAGCGCATGCATCTGTTTACGGTGCGTTTGGTTTGTACTCGTCTGGGAAGCTGACGCTGGTGGGTGGCAGCTCGCTGTACGCGCGTTACTGCAGCTTTGATGGGTACGAACACCTGTTTTACGTGAACATCCTCAGTGTCAGTGACCACTCCGTTTTTGCGCTGCTCAACAATACGATGTCCTCCGGGACAAGCTTCTTGTATCAGAAGCAAATCTTTAGCGTGTCGGATCACAGCGTGTTGCGCGTCGTGGGTAACAGTGGTTCCGTGTCCAACGCCATATATTCACTAAGCTTTTTTACCGTTCAGCAGTCAAGCTGGCTGGATTGGCGCGACAACGACGTGGAAGTGGGTGCGATGTTTCGTTGCTACCTAATAACTGCCGGGGGCATCGACAGCAGCAGTGTTGTGACGCTGACGGGCTGCAAGATGGGCTTGACGGGGTTGTCGGTATCCTTGCTGAAGCGGGCTGACGCCGGCTACCGGTTCTTTGCTGGATGCCTGACGGTCGCGAGACGGGTGTTGACGACGGCAGCAGAACTGGAGCTCCACGGCATCACCGACGTGACGACGGTTACCGCGTGCGGGGAGTGCACGAAGGACGGCGACTGCTTTGCCCCGCTGACGACGGCGGTCATTGACTGCAAATGCCAGTGCGCTGCTGGAGGGCACGGCGATGTGTGCGTCCCGGCGCCTGTGCCTGCTGGCCCGCCGCCATCGTCATCGCCACCACCGCCACCACCGCCACCACCCACGCCACCGCTACCGCCGGTGGGTGAGTGCATCAGCGACATTGTGTACCCCGAGGTTGCGCAGGCAGTGGGCAGTGGGCAGTCGTGGCTGTGCTACCGCAACGTGACGTTCAGCGGGGGCGGCATGAGACTGACGGTGCTGATTGGGGCGATGACGGGCGACGTGGCGAATGTCATGTTCGATGGATGCACGTGGAGGGACGGCGCCGTGCTGTTGCTTTTGGGCAACGCGTACGCCTTTGTGGGGTCGCTGAACATTGTCGTCACCGGCAACACGTTCCGTGACGCGCTGCTCAGCCCGGAGGGTGGGTTTCCACCGCACACGAACATCACGATCAGCGGGAACCGCTTCACGGTCACGAGGCTGATCCCTCGGTCGGGTTTGGGCCTTAGGAAGCCGTCGTGTGTTGCGATGAATGGACTGGCGATCAGCAATGACTCCGCGGTGGTGTTCAGTGGCAATGTGTTTGAGAGCGTGGGGGCATCGTCAAGCGCCATTCACGTCGTTGGATCTTCGCTGAGCGTGTCGTGGCACTCCGTGTTTGCGGTGGTGGGCAACGTGTTTCATATGGACGGCGCTAACGGTACTCTGATATATATTGGAGGGTCTAGCCAGTCATTTTCGCTGAAGGTGCTGAACGACTCTGCCGTGGTGATCCGAGGCAACGTTGTGACGAGGCCGATGAAGTACCTTATTTTATTCCTTTGGTCATTACGTGTGGAGTCCCGGTCAGCGGTTGTGTTTCAGGGCAACGACATGCAGGGAAGCTTGGTTGTGTTTTATTCAAGCTACTCCCCGAACATCTACTACAACTCCTGGCTGCAGCTGAGCGGCAACCTCTGCCGTGAATCCCCATCGGATGCGTTTGCACTCCTGAGCCCCACGGTGAATCTCCGCGACTCCACGGTGTCTGTGTCCGGCAACCGATTCATGTCCAGCACGGACAGGCCGACAGTTTTACGGATACCCAAAGGGTCCCGCGATATCACGAACGGAGCTATTGTAGCTGGGTGCAACACTGTGAACGGCGAGGAGGAAGTGAACTACGTCATCCCGTCCGTGTACAATGCCACCATTCTGACGTGCAGCGACCCATGCGCCCTCGCGACGTCGTGCTTCCCCGCGTACACGACGACGGTTTCGAGAGATGGCTGCGCCTGCACGTGCGCGGAGGGCGGCCATGGCGATGCGTGCCTGCCTGTCGCTGTCCCCGAACCACCGAGCACCGACGGCGTCGACCTGTGCGTGCGGGACGTGAGTGTGGATGTGGAGGTGAACGCCGGCCTCGGGACGTCGGTGGCGTGCTACGTTGGTGTGACCTTTGCGGCGGACGTCGTGGTGGACGTGGGGTCGATGTCGGGGAGCGTGCGCAACGTGACGCTGGCGAACTGCACGTTTGTGGGCGGAGCGAGCCTGTACGTTGTCGGGTGGCTGTCCGACCCGCCTGCTGACGAGCGCGTTGATGTGTTGGTCAGCGGGCTTGAGTCGCGCTCCGGCGGCGGCGTGCTGGTGGCGAACCGATTCCCGCCGGGCTCGCGCGTCGCTGTGGTGGACTCGGTGCTGATCGCGGAGAAGCGCGTTGCGTACCGCGGCGACTACGATCTTGGCGACCTCTCCGCGTGCCTCGTGGTGCACAGCGTGAATCTGACGGGGAGCGTGCTGACAATTGCGCGCACGCATGTGGCGGCGGTGTTCCGTGACGCTGTTGGCGTGTTGGTGGTTGGCGGCGTGGCGCTGTCGTCGCGCGGTGCGCTGTACTTGGACGGGCTGTTGGTGCAGACGGCGCTGGGGCTGTGCGTGTCGGTGGAAGGCGGTGTTTCGGCCAGCGGCGGCTCCGTGGTGGCGTTTGTTGACAGCGGCTTCCTGCTGTGCAAGCACGCGGTGTCTGTGCGTGGGGCTGTGAGCGTGTCGGGCTCCGCTGTGGCGCTTGTGCGGAGCGACTTTTTGTCGACGGAGGACTACGCGGTGGCGTTTTATTCGACGGTGAGTCTGGCCGGCGGGTCGATGCTGCTGGCGAAGGACAACGTGCACGACGGCGTCTCGAAAGAGATGCTCCACGCCGCTGGCGCCGTGACCGCTGCTGGGAGCACGCTGAGCTTTGTGCGCAACCGAGCGCTGCTGCCGCGGATGGTGTCGGTGAGCCTGTCGCTTGCGGCTGGGACGCATTTGAGGGTGGCGTGCAACGACGCGGGTGGCCGTGTCCTGTCGACGGCGGAGGAGTACGCTGCGGCTGGATTTGGCGACGCTGGGAGCATCGACGTTGCTGGGTGCGACGTCTGCGACAGGGACACGCACTGCTACGCGCCCGGGACGGCGTCTGCGAGCATGAGGAACGGTGCGTGCGTGTGCGCGTGCGGCAGCGGCGGGTACGGCGAGGCGTGCGTGCCTGTGGGAGCTCCCGCGCTGCCGCCCGCTGTGGGCACTGCGTCGAGTGTGTTCTTCCGCGAGGGCGTGACGGTGCGGTCGGTGTTCGTTGTGCCTGCCGGTGCGAGCGAGCTGACGCTGCGCCACGTTGTGCTGGACGGCGTGAGTCCTGTGCTCTACGTGCCGTGGATGGCGCGGGACGGCGTGCGGATCGTTGTGCAGAACGTGTCGCTGCGTAACGGTGCCGTGCTGTACGTGATGGGCGGAGGAGCGTTGGGCGGTGCGGCGGGGAGCGACGAGAGCGGGCCGGTGGAGCTGTCCGTGTGCGATGTGGAGGCGCTGAACGGTGCGCTTGTGCTGACCGGCACGTATCCCGCGGGATCTGTGCTGACGGTGGCGGACACCCTGCTGGTCGCCGCGAGGCCGACGCCACTTGTGTATCTTCCCGGTTCGCAGTCCTCGCCGTACGCACCGGTGCTGGTGCTGTCAGGCCTGCGACTCGTGCGGTCCGTGCTGGTTGTGTCCGGCGTTGCTCTCGTGACGGTGATGACTGGTGGGCGGACGGTGGTGGTGGACGGCGCGGTGCTGGAGCTCGTCGGCGGCGGTGTCGCGCTGGACGCGGCTGTGCTCGGTGGCGAATATGCGTTTTACGCGAGTGCGCGCGTGGTTGCGTCTGAGGGCGCTGTGCTGCGCGTGTCGGGGAGCCAGGTGTACGCCGCGCATGGATTGGTATTCGGCAGCGGAGTGGAGGCCAACGCGTCCGCCGTCGTAGTGAATGACAACGCCGGTGCGCTGACCGATGGCGCGCTGCTGGAGCTGCGGGGGTCGGCGTCGTTTGTGTCCGGTTCGTGGCTTTCGGTGCGCGGCAACAGCATCAGCGGCAGGCTTCTGTCGGTGCCGTCGTACCCGCGCCGTGCGGACCTCGTGCGGAGCACGCTGACGCTCCACGGGAATGCCGGCAGCGGGCCCGTTGTGATGGACGGCACCGTTGCGCTTGGGGGTGCCGGC